ACGACGACGACGACGACTGCTACGACGACGACTACTACCACAACTATTAGTATTAGTATGGCTCTTAATCGTAGTATTAGCATTAGCGTTGGTACGAATACTATTAGCATTAGTACTAATACGGGTATTCGTGGTTTGATAAAATTTTCGTATTCGGGTGCGCGTTCGTGTTTGTATTTCACTAGTATTCGTACTGGAACTACTAGAATCAGTATTCGTCTTAGTAGTAGTACTGGATGTATTGGTGTGGGTATGAGTATGAGCGTTAGTAATCTTATTCGTAGTGTTATTGCCAGTATTGTCATTATTAGTATTACTCTTGTTATCGTTTTAGCCATTACTGTTATCATTGTTATGGTTCTTCTGCATACTCTTATCATTACCATTGTTGTTGCTGTTTCGCACAAATAGCATGCGTCAGGCAGGGTTGCGCCGTCAGTTAACTCGAAGGAGTTCCCCAACGTAGTATTAGCAATCATTAGTACCCTAAACCCTAAACCCCTAAACCCCATCAGGATCCAGGCCTCCGGTCCAGCACTGCCATGTACACGCAGGTCACTGCATGGCCGAGCAGCGCCATGCCCGGAGCTTCGTACCTTAGACCGCCAGGAAAGACGTCGCATGGACGAGCTTGATGTGAGCCTGCCTGAGGTTCGTCAACCAGGCATATATAGAGACTATAGCCCACAAGTCTGCATCAAGAGGGGGTTGATATTATCCGTGTTGACGACCCTTGCTAAAACTGTGCCCAAGGCCATTGCTGCCTGCGGTATCCAAACGGAATGTTGGATCAAGCGCGGATTGCAGAACCCAGCGCTAACCTCACAGAACCAAGACCACCTTGACACACAGCTGATACACACCAATGAAAGAAACTGATCTAACCCTAACGGTAATCCCTACACCCAAAAACTTCTGAGCCCTTACAGTTTACACCTCAACTTCATAAGCCTCATGGAACCTGGCCCCTTAACCCTGGAAAAACCCCTGAAGCCCGCAGACCCCTAATGCTTCGAGGTGCACACCGCGGGACTTGGTGCCCAAAATTCGGTTCTCCAGGGCTTGGCACAAGCCAATGCCGTTACGACCGGCGATGGTGTTCGCCTGCTGGACAGCCTGACAACTCACAGGTTCCTGATGATGTATGTAGACTCTGACATGCAAATCTACACGTTCCTACGTATAAGATATACATAGGAATGAGAATATATATATATACATACATACACACACATACATACACACATACATATAAGATATTCATACATATATATATATGTATATATAATGTACACAACCTCTCAACACATAGAGTGAATATATATATATACACACATATGCCTCTCTCTTTTGTGCTTGTCATTTGTCATTGTCAAGTGTGTAGCATGTTCGCAATAGCCTCTAGGACATCAGTATGACCCTCTCGATCTGGGGCTCCAAAGGCGCGATCGAGGGCCCAATCAGGGACATGGGTGGTGATGAATAGTTTGTCGAGTCCGGAAGGTGGGGGTTGTGAACAACACACCCCCCCCCCCCAACCCCTCTGTCGAAGGGGTATGGAATGTTGGACGGTTGTAGGTCCCACCCAGAGCAGCACAAGCAGTCGTTGGACCAGACTATTTTGATCGCCCTCTTCCAGGGGTTGTAACTTACAGCGACTCCTCGAATCAGCAGCTCGAATGAAATCCACAGGGGCAAGTTCCTACTTGGGTTTGGCTCAAGTTTCCAAGCTCCACGTGTTGTATAACTTCGGAGCCCACTGCAACAGCAAATGGTGAGGAGCTCAGCCCAGCCCGCCTGCAGTGGAGTCACTGCTTTTCCGTTGATCTGGGTGCACCTTCCCTTCTCAAACTTCAGGGTGATCTCCTCCTGCTTGTCTGGAGCATCCTGTCTCATCAACGGTGGGCAGTTGCGGGAATAGGAACCTAGGAGACAGGACCTGAGGTTGGGTTGACCTGGATGTATTTCGTATCTGAACAACCTTCGGAGGTTCGCATCGAAATGCCTTTCTGTTCCGTTCCAACTGGGAAACTACATGCGCCAGCCCGACGAACTTCAAATCCTCAGAGCCCTTCGACAGGGGCGGGAGCCTCTAAGCCCCAAGCCCCCATGCATCAAAGCTCCCGCCTCTCTCTGGTTCTTAGTAGGGAATGGGGGAATGGGTTATTGGGACCACAAAAGGGACCTTAAGGGACTATCATAGGGATCCATTCCCCCATTCCCCACTAAAAACCACACAGTCCTTGGGCCAGACGCCCATGACCGGGTTCACGATGGTGATGGGAGTCTGCATGGACTCCAGGTCCTCTGCCTTTGGGGGGCGGAAATGCAATTATCCTTAACTAAGCGCCTCCAAGGCCTCGAGCATGGACTCAGTCAAACTACAACAATATTGGGGCCTTGATAGAGGTATATCTATATATATACACACACACACATATATATATATGTATGTATGTATGTATGTATGTATGCATGTATGTATGTATGTATACACATATATATATATGTATATATATATAACATATATATATATATATCATATATATATATAGAAATATAAATATAGTAACAGTATATTGAGCCCCACGGAATGATGTCTGGTTTCAGGGCCCGATATGGCGGATGCAGTTTTCCGAAAGTCGTCTTCGGCTGTCGGCTTGCTTTCAATCCCCACAGGTCCTAGGAACTGTGACAGGGGATACTTTCCCAAATCATACTAAGGATTCCTGATATAGAAACCCTACAGTCTACTATATGAAAGCCTTAAAGGAACCCTCAAACCCCTAAACCCTTGATAAAGGATCCCTTCCGGGATTCCGGGATTCCTTATGAGAACTTTGGATCCTTTGGGAATCTATCACAAGGCAAGGACAAAAAGCGGAGAAGGCCCGTCAACGAGCCCCAAAGAGGCTGGATCCCTATGCAACCTAAAGTAACGATAGACAGAAAGTTGGGATATCATGATCCTGACAGGGTTTATGGTTTAGGGTTTACTCATACTCTGAAGGTAAGAGAAAATAGGGAATCCCAAGACTAATCATCCATTGCTCATGTTACAACCTGCTGGGGCTCTCTCTCTCTCTCTCTCTCTCTCTCTCTCTCTCTCTCCAGATTTCTCTCCAGAGATCCCCTACGCCTCGTTGCTCAGCCCGCAGATATTCGCATCCGTGGAGTAGCGCTTCGAGGCCTTGGCCGGAAGTTACGAGCTGAGGTCTGGGTTTCCGCAAGGCAGGGGAAGGGAGGGGACGGGGGGGAGGGGAAGGGAGGGGAAGGAGGGAAGGGGAGGGAGCGGAGGGGAGGGAAGGAGGGGAGGGAAGGGGAGAGGGAAGGAGGAGGGTTCAAAGTCCAAATTGTTCGTTTCTTCGCTGCAGATCAGCCCGGCGTTGGGAAAATGCCAAGTAAAGGTAGCCCAACAAAACTCGCACAGGACTTCTGTCACAGGGATGGACCCGTTCTCTGCTGGGTCCCCAAGCCTGCGAGACGATCTTGTGGTCGATGCCATGCTTCTGCAGGAATGTCAGCATCTGCGAGCGCCCTGGGAACTCCTGCAACATCGAGTGCTAGGCACTGCTCGTAGAATCTTGGCTATTGCACGATTACTCATGAAAACTGAGATATGCCAGATGGATGATGTATGCAGTAAGTACTAGTCCTACTGTTGATCCTCGGTGTTAGCATCGATAGTCTGATTGGTCAGCAGTGTTATCGGTTGTTCAAGGAATCAGGAAAGACGCTGAATAACCACCATGCTAGCAGAACGGCAATTATTGGTTTTCATGCATCTGTGACAAGAAAATATGTCCACAACTCCAGTTACATTTATTTTCGAAAATATACCAGTGAATCTGATGCATTGTTCGTACCCTTTTAGAAGCTTTCGGTGCTGCAGCTCCTCTTACAGCTACAGCTGCAAGGTGACAACTGCCAGTAGCAACACCTGTCACCACCGCTTCTCTACCCCCTGTGGGACCATCGAGACATGCGATGCAAGCATTGCGAGAGTATATATGTATTGTGTCCTACAGCAATGAATGCTCACCAAGTCTGCTGCATCCTAACCCTAGACCCCGACACAAGAAGGAGACTAACCCTAAACCCTAAGCCCTGAAGCAGAAAGGACGCCTCCAACAGCACGGGATCTCGCCAGGGGGCGTAGACTTTGAAGGACGGATCGATGACCTTTGCCCCCAGCAAGAGGGTACAGGGTTTAGGGGGTGAGGGTTTAGGGTTTATAGGGGTGAGGGTTTGGGGTATAGGGTTTCAAGCATATATTCCGCGATGTTCTGCCGCTGTGCATTCTGTTCAGACCGAGATCCATCGGCTCTGAGGGCGTCGCATTCACGTATCGCTCGAAGCGCACCTGGAAAGTGCATCGGCTCAGGCACAGGGCTTGTACAGGACTCAGCGATGTCGGGACCATTGTGAAGGCATTCTGGTGTAATGGTCTTGATACTTTGAAGTCTGAAATGTCGATCTGGGTTTCAGTTTCGTTGGGGAGGACTGCGCCTTCACTTGCCGCCTGATTTCCCATTTAGCCAATCAGCAATAGGACACACCTGACACGTCTCGAGCCATGGACGAGAGTCAGAGGAAACAAAGTTAAACACGCTTCTTTCTGCACATTTTGCCTTAATGCTGCTTCGAAGCCGGAAAGCCAGATTCTCTCAAACATGCTTTTGATGCTAATTACTGTAAGCACGAACTGTGCACACATGCGATCTTACATGCAGGATAGTATGCACTTGTCCGTATCGATGACGTCCCAAGAAGACGAGATTATCCGAAGTCTTGCGACGGATGTCCCAGTGTAGACAGCGCCAATTTAGCCCGCCTGGTCGTTGCCACGGCCCGTCGCCCCGTGGGAGAGGACGGTGCAGCCATGTTTCTTCATCTCTGCTAGCAAGCCCCTGCAAAAGCACATGATCAGGGCTGGGGTGCTGGTCAGGGAACTGCCGAACTATATAGCCATAATGGCAGCTCCTGTTGTTCAGCCGATCTCGCCAACTCCTCTGCACTATGAGTTTTAGTGCGAAACACAGCCGTTGCCGCCACCAGACACGCCATGATTTCTTGGCGCATGCTAACAACATCCTGATGCACGCGCGGTGGGCACTGCGATACTGTAGCAACTCCTCGATTTCTCTGGAGCCTCGCAGTGACGTAGCGGCCGATGCCGGTCGACTGCCAGTATCCTCCATCGTACATGGCCTCAGGATTCAGGGCGCAGGATCTCTGCTTCTGCACCATGCTCCTTTAAAGGCCAGCGCAAGACTTCGCAGAACCGCAGGGACTTTTTGATTTCACTCATCCAAAGGAAGCCCAAAGTCCCTAAATATGAGGAGGCCAGTCTCAAGATCTTTTGCTCGAAACTTGCTGCCGCACCTCCTGTCCAAGCATAAACCGAAGAGCCCTGCTGTTTCATGGCTCATGCGCACCTGGGCAGCGACGGCCTCGAAGGCTCCTTCCGCGATCTCGTCCTGCCGCACGGCTTTTCTGAACAGGGTTTTGGGTTTAGGGTTAAGGGTGTCCATGCCGGCCACAGGGGCAAGATGATTTCCAGCGGCTGTTAACCTACCCTAAACCCTAAACCTACACCCTGAACCCTGAACCGTTTTTGTGCCTAAACCCTGTAGTCTTGCCTTCCCCGGCTGTGCAGGCGCACGAGTGACGCAGACGAGCCCCAACTCGAAAGTCAAGGATAACAAAGTAAGTCCTTGAGGTCGACGACAATCGTCTCCACCCCACAGGGCGCCATCTTCCTGGAATGAGTTCTGCGTTTTGTGTAGGCTTTTTTTACAGAGCCTGCCCCTGAAGCTGAAGAGACGGCATCGGCCCCGTCTTCGCCAATATGTGAATCAAGATTCCAATCGCCGCGAGTCATAGATGGTTTCAAACGGCGCGGTACAGGTTGGGAGACCCAGCCATATCTGATGAGTTTCCCCACTGCGCTTCTCTGAATCATATGGGGCTCCGTAGGGCCAAGAGCCAAACTTTCCCTCCTTGCTGGGGTTCCTGTTCCTCCTCAACGGACCACTGTGAGCCAGAGTCAGCTCCTCATACCTGGACCTAAGGCGTCCACCTTAATAAACACCACATGCACCGGTTCATTGGGTCTTGGGCCTTTGGTCAGGAAGATAGCTGGAGATGTCCTGAGTCTAGACATCGTCGGCTGCTATACACTGCTGTGGGATCCAAACCCCTTGCAGCCAGGCATCTTCACCACATCGTTCACATCCTCCTCATCTGGCTGGCCGATGTCAGCAGTGAAGCATTTGACCTGCCAAGCTATACAACTAACTACCTTGACACAACCGCGGAGATATTGCACTTATACTTCATGATTTCGTCTATATATCGATGAATGTATGTGTAACGTATGTCGGTGTGTATGTTGCCGTTTACACACTCATGCATTCTCCTATGAGAAGGGAGGAACCACAGCTCTATATCTGCACACCCTACCCATGAGGCTCTGAGGTGCTGCTCCGTAGCCTCATTGCAAAGGACAAAGGACGATTGACGATGGACACGACGCATCACTCAGAGCCGGAAAAACACCCAAAAGTCAACATGCCCCTTGGTCTACCACGAACTCACCCGCCTTCACACCTGCCAGGCGGAGCCTCAGCGCCACGGTCTTCGAGTCCAGGCCACCGCTGACGCAAATGCCTACGACGTCGCCGTTCTCCACATACCTGCAGCTTTTGGAGCACACAATGCGCAATACGGTAGCCTCTAGAGTCCAGGAACACCAGCTACCAACAGCAATGGTGCACTTGCTGCGAACACCAGTGATGCTGCCGCCGTGGCTCGGGCAACTGTTGCTGAGCCGAAGTATTGACAAGCTTTGTAGCAGCGGCTTCTTCTTCTTCTTCTTGTATTGGTGGTAGCGGTAGCGGTAGCGGTAGTGGTGGTGGTGGTGGTGGTCGGGGATTGGTGGGGTAGTAGTAGTAGTAGTAGTCGTCGTCGTAGTAGTAGTAGAAGCAGTAGTAGTAGTAGTAGTAGTACTACTACTACTACTTCTTCTCCTA